AGGTCCTCCCCCGGTAGACCCTCTCCCGCCTCAGGGTCCTGCCCCGTCAGGTGTGTCCCAAGTAGACGCAGTCGAGCCTGTCGAGGTAGCTGTTGACTCTGGTGCTGCTAGGGGTGCTGAGCCTGCTGGTGCCGGGTCTGGGGGTGCTGAGCCTGGGGGTGCGGAGCCTGGGGGTGCTGAGCCTAGGGGTGCGGAGCCTGGGGGTGCGGAGCCTGGGGGTGCAGAGCCTGGGGGTGCAGGGTCTGCTCGTGTGGCCTCTGGCGGTGCTTCGTCAAGGCGGGAGCCACCCTCTCCGCAGGAGCTGCGCAAGTGGTTTGCTCGGCGCTAGAGCCGTGCTGCTGGAGCTGGAGGTGCTACTGTTGCTGCTGGTCCTGGAGGTGCTCGTACTGGCGGCACTGGAGCTGCTGGAACTGGGGGTGCTGCTGGGGCTACTGGAGTTGGTCTTGCTGAAGGTACTTCTGGAGCTGCTGGCGGTACTAAAGCTGACAGTCCTGCTGGAGCTGGAGCTGCTGGAGCTGGAGCAGCTGGGGGTGTTGGCGCTGGAGGTGCTGCTGGCGCTGGTACTTCTGAGGGTGCTAGAGTTGGCGCTGTTGGAGCTGGAGGTGCTGCTTGGACGAGATTGGCTACAGCGATTCAATCCGACGATCGATTGGACGATGGGAGAAATCACGGTGCTGTGCAACAAAGGGCGCGTGGCACTTCCGAAATGGGCGGAGCCAGAGGCGATGACAACACGTGTCAACGCGATCACGCTCAAGAGGGCGATAAAACGTGGAGCGCAAGGCTACGCCGTACAGGTGTACGAGGTGGTGGCGTCCGAGAAAATCGCCGACATTGACACGCTCTGCGCTGCTGTACCGGACGACGTGGCGAGCATAATTCGGAGGCATCCCGAAATTTTCGCGGATGACCTGCCTGACGGGCTGCCACCTCAGCGACCTGAAGACCACACGATCGAGCTGGAGCCAGGCGCAAAACCGACTGTTCGGTCACAGTGGCGGCTCAGCCAACCAGAGCTCGACGAGTTGCGGAAACAGCTCGATTATATGCTTTCGAAGGGTTTTATTCGGCCGAGCACGTCACCTTACGCCGCCCCGATACTGTTCACACCGAAGAAGGACGGAGGCCTGCGCATGTGCATCGACTATTGAGCGTTGAATCGGGTCACAATCAAGTCGCGTTACCCGATCCCGCGAGCGGATGACCTGTTGGACCAACTTCGCGGGGCTCGCTTCTTCTCGAAAATCGATTTGCGAGGTGACTACCTTCAGATTCGCGCGTTCGTCGACGACTGCCCGAAAATTGCGTTTCGCACCCGCTACGGCAGTTATGAATATACTGTGATGCCGTTCGGGTTGACGAACGCGCCTTTGACCTTCTAGCTCACCATGAATAGGGTGTTTCGGGATATGCTGGACAAAAAAGTCATTGTTTACCTGGACGACATCCTGGTGTACAGCAAGACTCGGGAGCAACATTTACAGGACTTAGAGGAGGTGTTCCGGCGCTTGCAGTAGAACCGGCTGATCACTAAGTGTTAAACATTATATATGTGTTATTGCTGTGTAGGCTGTAGTGGGTTAGCCTTTAAGGGGTACACAACTCTAGGGTTTCATACTTGTACTCCAATGTTTCATAGTTCAATCACTTCTTGTTTCTGACACTAAGGGCTCTAAGTGTGAGTTCTTACAGTCGGAACTGGAGTTCCTGGGGCACGTGGTTTCAGGGGAGGGCATTAAGATTGACCCTCGCAAAGTCAAAGCGATTTCGGAGTGGAAGCCGCCCACGAACATCACGGAGTTGCAGAGTTTCCTCGGCTTCGTTAACTACGTCCGCCGTTTTGTACCGAATATGGCGGGGGTGACCAGGCCGTTAACCAATCTTCTGCATAAGGGCGTGCAATTTTTGTGGGGGGAGAGAGAGCAGCTGGCCTTCGACGAGCTGAAGAAAATTTTGAGTTCACCCCCGGTGCTTCGACTGGCAGATCCATCTCGACCGTTCGAAGTCGTGACGGACGCCAGCGATTTCGCTGTCGGCACTGTGCTACTACAAGACTTTGGCAACGGGCTGCAACCCATCGCGTACGAGTCAAGGAAAATGCAGCCGCCTGAGCGCAACTACCCTGTACACGACAAAGAAATGCTCGCCATCGTGCATGCATTTCGTACCTGGCGCTGCTATCTCATGGGAGCTGATATCACCATCCGAACTGACCACAAATCATTACAGTACATGCGCAGCCAACCACAACTCAACCCACGACAAATCCGGTGGCTCGATTACCTCGAGTCGAATTTCCGCTACACCATCACGTACAAAAAGGGCGCCAACAACATCGCCGACGCCCTGACCCGCCTATCGATGCAGACCGCAGCAGTACTAATCGCCCATTTAAGATCGACAGGTTTTTCAGGACCAATCAACACCAACGGGTCACCACAGCGCATGGGAACTACTACCTAAAAGTCGGTACTAACCGAGTTTGGGTACCTTCCTACCGACCCTTACGAGAATTGCTGACGCAGGAAGTACATGACTCCAATCTCTCCGGGCATTTCGGCGTCGACAAAACGTTTAAGCTGCTGCAGCAAAATTATTATTGGCCCGACATGGCGTCGGACGTGCAGCACTACGTGTCCGCCTGCCCGACCTGCCAGGCAATAAAGTCATCACGACAACGCCCAGCTGGATTACTGCAGCCCCTCGAGCCACCCGAACGACCGTGGCAACAGGTGACAATGGATTTCGTCATGGGACTACCAGCTGGCGCAAGTGGCAACGACTCCGTGCTCGTCGTCGTCGATCGCTTAACGAAAATGGCGCATTTCGCACCATGCCGCACGACGATCACAGCCGAAGAAACAGCGAAGCTCTTCATCTCGACCGTCGTGCGACTACACGGGTTACCTTCGGCGATCGTCAGCGATCGAGATCCGAAATTCACGTCGAAGTTCTGGCAGGAGACGTGGGCACAGTACGGTACCCGCCTGCAGTTCTCGTCGTCCTACCACCCGCAAACCGACGGACAGACAGAGAGGACAAACCATACGATGGAGCAGTTGATTCGCACGAACTGCCCCGACATCACCAAATGGGAAGATTCACTCCCCATGCTCGAGTTTGCGTACAACAACGCCCCATCTGCAACAACCAATCAGTCGCCGTTCTACCTCAATTACGGGATAGATCCAGTGGTACCCTCGTCAACGACTCCTGAAAACACGGTACCAAGGTCGCAGCAATTCGTTTCGGAACTTCAAGCAGCGCGTGACAAAGCAGCGGAGTTTATCCGGAAGGCTAATACTGTCGCCAGCCGATATGCTGACCGACATCGACGGAACTTACCCTTCCGTACCGGGCAGATGGTCCTCCTGGACACGAAGAACCTAAAACTGCCCCAACCTGCAAAATTGCGTCCCCGCTACGTGGGGCCTTTCCGCATCATTCGGATGCTGACCCCGGTCACAGCGAAACTTCTACTACCGGACGACTGGAAGATCCACGACGCTTTCCATGTCAGTTTGCTCCGCCACTACGCGGCACCGCAGCCGTCCGACGTCACTCGACCCAACCCAGCGCCAAGTGTCCGCCCGGTGGCAGACCCGACACTTCAGCCTTGGAAGATATTGAATCATCGCATTCGTGCGACCCCTGCTGGACGACACGTCGATTTTCAGCTACGCTGGGTGGATCGCACAAGTGAAGATGACACGTGGGTTGACTCACTACAAGGCCACTCGGTATTTCGGGATTATCTTTCCCGCCAACACATGCCTGATATTGACCACCTTTCTTAAGGGGGGGGGGGGGGTAGTGTAAGGAATTTCGCTAATTCCTTACTGAGGCATCTCTTACGCGTACAATTCCAACTCTTCGGAATTCAGGCTCGGTTCGTCGACCTCGCCTTCCGAACGTCCTCCGCGTCGCCTTCGGGTTTCCCAAACCCAAACCTGCACCCAACCTTCGTGCGACTCCGCGACCTCGGCCTAACTAGCTTTGCTATATATTGCCTAGGCCTCGTTGTTTGCTCAGGCTTTGTAATCACTTCCGCGTTATTGAATACTGCGCACTTTTCTTTCGTACAACTCATAACAGAGAACCTGGAACGGTAAAAGATTATAACATATAGGCCAATTCATACAATTACAATTATAACATGTAAGCCATCCCTTCAGCAAGTCTATTGGTTTTTTTTTTGTCATCCTAGGCAACTCACGAAGCTCTTGCAAAAAGCTTCTCTTCTCGCAGCCATAAAAAACTACTCCGGATATGGATAAGCCTAGTGCAGTTTATATGCGCATGGTGTTTATTCTCAGTCTGAATGATGTGTATGTAGCAACTGAAAGTTGGGTAGTAAATCTGGATGGACCTCCTAACAGACATGTGGCCAACAGCTGTTCTGAAACATCTCAAAGTAAATTCGCCTCACTACAAGCTGCAACCAGACTTAGTCTCTTCTCACTACACGCAACACGTCACCCACCAGGTGCAGTGACCCTGTCACTAACACCTGCAGATGAACGTATGGATGCATCTTAGCCGTCCATCTAAGCAGATCAATGGCAGCTGGTAATGACGGCAGCACAACACTGCAAGGTCCCAAACTCGCCATTCCCTGGGAGATCAACGGCCAGAATAAATCCTCCAACTCTTTCATTTCTGCTGCTTGTGTTGCTCCTTGTGCTGCTGGTTGTTCAGTTGCTGATGCTGGCGATGCTACTGATTGACTCGAATCACATGGGACTAGGAACGAAGCAGGAATCGAGTCAACTGAACGGCCACCTGAACCAGCAGCAGAAGCAGGAGCAGGAGCAGCAGCAGGAGCAGCTCCAATATCGGAAGCAGCGGCAGCAAAATTAACAGCATGCAGAGGCTGCTGCTGCAGCTGTTCCCATGTTTGCTGCATGGCTAGCTGCCAAACCAGACTGCTTTGGCCGAGGCTGCTGCTCTGCCTCGTGCCACTAGCATCGGTGCCAGAGCTGGTGCTTTGGCTCGTCAAATTAGGAGCCAAGACAGTGGAGTCGGATGAGGGGAGGTAAGCCGAGGAAGGTGCGGAGGATGATGGAGAGGGGAGGAGGGCGGTGTAGGATGAGAGGGAGGGGACAAAGAGGGCTCGATGGAGAGACAGGCCTGGGGATAAAGGGATGGGGAAGGAGACGAAAGATTGACAGTGAATGAATGGGCAAAGGAAGGAAAGGGGAAAGATAGATGGGTGATGGAAGGGGAATGACAAACTCATGGAATGGGAAAAGGAAGGGAATCGGCAAAAGAAGGGCACGGGAAAAGAAAGGAAACGAGAGAAGAAAGAGAATGGGAAAAGAAAGAGAACGGGAAAAAAATAGAATGAGAAAAGAATTGAAGTGGACTAAGAAACGGAATGGATTAAGGATACATGCACACGCAGCCAGCCAGAAGCGCAAAGAGAAGGCTTAGAGAGAAACAATGATTGCTGTTTTCTATCATTGCTACAATTCTGTTAACCATTTTTATGCACATGAGTGTTTTCAGATGGAACTGAATTATTCCAACATACTTAAGCATTTTCTTACATACCTTTGCGCTCAAGTGTCCTAAGCAGCTGCGTCATAAGTGTGTGAGGGTCCCGCTCAGGCATGCAGTTGAACAGCAACACCTGTGATGAACCATGAGCGCAGGGAGTGAGAGCAGCACAGTGAGAGCAGGGCAGTGAGAGCAGGGCAGCGAAGGCAGAGAGAGCAGGGCAGTGAGAGCAGGGCAGTGAGAGCAGGGCAGTGAGAGAAGAAAAGCACGATTAGTGCAGCATGAGAGAACGTGGAGCAAACGACATGCAGCTGAACAGGAAACCTGTGGGCAAGAAAGGTAAATCTCGTGAACTGAGTGCATATCATTCTGCCTCTGCATATCATCCCCCCTCTGCATGGTAACTCTGCCACTCAACCAGTCCCCACACACTTCCCTTCGCGAGACCTTACCCGCACAGGCGTCTTGGCTTCCACTTTGCTTGGCCCTTGCACCACCCCCGCTGCTGGTGCTGCTGCTGCTGATGCTTTTGCTGCTGCTCCTTCTACTGCTGTTGATGCTGCCCCTTCCCCAACATTCGTTCGTCCAACCCCCTCTCCACCCCCCTTCCCATTCCCTCTTGCATCTCCAGAAGCTTCCGAGAACCACTCTCCGCACACCTCCATACTCTCCACTGTATGGGCACCGTCCAAAAAGAATGTCAGCTGCCCGCCTGCACTTCCAGCTTGCCCAGGCTCGGCCGGGCAGTCCTGCAGAATTTCGCACCTGCCCGGCCAGGAGGCACCCCCTAGCCCTTTGATGTAAGCAAGTGGCAGTGTCTTATTAGCCAGGGCCTGAACCGGGAGGTAAAGGCAAGAAGAGGGAGGTGAACCGGACACAAGGAAAACAAGAAGTGAATTCAAGTAGACCAAGGTAAAGAGGAGCAACAACACGAGCAGATGTCCTACTAACCAGAGTAGTTTCTAGGCGCGTCAACATTAGGAGCAATATCACGAGTATGTCCTACCGGGCAGTCCTTGAACCAGGTGGCGAATGCAAGGCCTGTGGAAAATGAAGGAGATCGGAACCAGGGATCGGAAGTGCCTCCTTAACTCACCTCATCGACAGCATCTTCTCTGCCTCATCCTCCCAGCCGCCGAGGATGGCCCACTGGCGCAGAGAGAATCGGCCAGGTGAATGAAGAGTGTTTCTGAGACGTCTCAGTAACACATGTCTTTCACGGAACTGACTCCTCACCTGATCGACAGCATGTGCTCTGCCTATTCCCGGCCGCCGAGGATGGCCCACTGGCGGCAGAAAGAATCGGCCAGCAACGCATTGACCTGCTGGTGCCGGCAACACAACACACCACTTGACAGACCTGACAGCACCGCACTGAACCTCACCTCATCGACTGCACGTGCCTCCTCTTCCCTGCCACTGCGAATGGCCCACTGGCGGCAGAGAGAGACGGCCAGCGATGCGTTCACCTGCTGGTGCCGGCCCGCCAATCCCACGCGGACACCTGGCGCTACCTCATGCCACGGCCTGGCCACCTTAAGGGGAATCTAGCGGGGGAAGAGCAGTGGGCGGGAACGAGATGGTGTGTATGTGGGTATGTGTGTGTGTGTGTGTGTGTTGAGTGGGTGTGTGGTGTGTGGGAGTGTGGGAGTGTGCAAGGTAGAAAGGACAGACAGCCTTTCTGAGGGAAGGAAGCATTGCAGTGGCATGTGAGGCATCATGGCCTCAATCCAGCTTTTGAGTCGACTCAAAAAAAAGGGAAGCAGTGCAGTGGCATGAGAGGCATCATGGCCTCAATCCAGACCCAGACCC